TTTTTTTTGTCTCAAAGCTTTTTTCGTAATTCAGATGCCAGCAGTAGAGACATTGGGATGCGTGACTGTGATCTGTTCTGATAAAACGGGTACCTTAACTAAGAATGAGATGACGGCGACATGTGTGGTGACACCAGAAGGGCGACGAGCAGAGGTTGGTCAAAAATTTCCTTTTAGGCATTATCTCCTCATTTTTTATCTCACAATTTTTCGGCTATAGTTTATTGTGAAGAGATCTCTCAAGAAATTAGCAAAATTCGGATGAGCCTTTGAAACATATTTGTCCGGTCAGAATTTTCGTTTTGATTCCAGGTGACCGGAATTGGTTATGTGGTAGATGGAGGGCGATGTACCTATGAAGGGGAACCAATCATGGGTTACAGCCATCAGGAGTTTGCAAGCATCATCGAGGTAGAATTTTTCAACCAGGATTTGCTTAGAGTTTCTCGCATTTCTTTCAATTTTTGTTTTCTCCTTGTTTGAACGAGAGGTTTGGCAAATTTGGGTACTTGGTCCTATGCGGAAAATGTTTCGGAGGCCTTATATGAGCCGTTATTCAAGCGGCAGCTCCTAAGCTTCCATTATGAGCGAGAAAATTGAATCTGAACTCCAACCCGGACCGTAATCATTTCGAGCAGACCAATTGGCTCGAGTGCGCTGGAAAGTACGATGTGGGCTAGGGTTTAGAGTTGAGTGCTTCTATCACGAATAAGTCATACCAGCTGTCGCTTGGGTAGTGGCTCATCAAGGATCTGTTTTCACATGAAAATTCCGAATACCTAAATTTGCTTAGACGCTGTTCCTTTCACAGATCAAAATAGCCGGTTTATTTAGGTGGGAGTGGTCTGTAACAATGCAGCTATCGTAGCCGACTCTGTAATTGGTCAACCCACGGAGGGTGCTTTGGTCGTATTGGCTCAGAAGGTTAGCGTCAGTCTTTCATACTGTAGTTTTTTGTTTCCTTTGTCCTGTTGAAATTCTTCATCTAGACTGGACTTGAAGGATGCCGGCAACATTACAAACGGGTTCGCGAAATGCCCTTCAGTTCAGATACGAAGTACATGTCTGTCCAGTGCGATCAGAATGTATGTGTTCTCGACTATCTAGCTCTTTCTATTAGACCTGGAATCTGTTTTAGGGGCAAACAGTATTTTTTGTGAAAGGCGCATTGGATCGGATATTACAACTTTGTGATTCCTATCTGTCGAGCGATGCTACGAGAAAGGTGAATTTTTTGTTAATGTGTCTTATGTCGCATATTTGGACTGCTTCATAAGGCGAAAATTCAACATTGGTTTTCGATAAAAATTTTTGAGTGCCATATATTGCTAGTGATAGAAAAGAGAAATAGAAAGGAGAGGGAGGATGATCTCATTTTCACGCGAATGCTCCTTCTGGGATAATTAGCGAATTTATTGGGACGATGATGCATCCTCGAGACAGCGATAAGATAAACAAACACGATAAGCTCTAATCTTGAGCAAATCCGAGCTCAACGCTGGAAAAATGAGTTAGTTCCACGGTTGATGAGTCAGTAAGAATTTTGCCAAAGCTAGCTTAGTAACGCACAAATTCGCTTATTCTCTATTCTTCTTCTTAAAGCGTAGGTGGAGGGTCCTCTGGAAAATTCTGGTGTTTTGAGTAAAAAATGACCTGCCCTAAAATCTCACAGATAAGTCCTCCCATCAGGTAAG